TAGGACTTGTAGACATGGCTAATTTGCAGTCCTTGTTCCGGGTTAGGCTTTGAAGAAATAACACAGGTGATAAACCAACGCAGTAAAATAGACATACAAACTGACATTTGCAGCAGATAAAGATGCATAAAAACAAACAGTAAAGCAGACATAGACACACAGATTGAAAATAATTACTAACTAAACACATATTTTATGCTATACTCACCAGATCAAAAGATCACTGTACGAGTTGTTCAACTTTAAGAAATGCAGATGCAAAGAAGCATAGAAACATGAGAAAGGTTTATAAGTCTTGAGCAGCAACCAATCAAAAGTCCTTCTGTTATTTCAGGACCACCCTTATTTTTAAATCAGCTGACTTTTAAGAAACATGCTGATTTACAGGAACAGTAGAAGCTGCATGCTCTCATGCCTTCTGCAGGTTAATAATAGCGCAAATCTTTATTGTGGCTGCTGCTAGAAATCCTCCTTTTCTACATTTTTAGTTTTCATCAAAGCTTTGTCCGTCCAAAAACTAGTGTTTTTTTGGGAGCCCTTATTGTGTGATATCTTCAGCTTTCAACAGCACTAATAATGGTGAATAATATCAGAAGCATGGGGATGTTTCAGCAGCTCTGAAAAAAAATGTGTTTTAGGTTTTTACTAATTTACAAATGTTATTTTTCATGGCAAAAGCTTTCACTTTGATTTCGTACTTCTTAGATCCTCTCCTCAGGTTTATTGAGAGGACAGGAAATCACTCCATGGGAAAGGGAACAAGCACATAAGATTGTGGTGAGACGTCCTCGTCTCTGAGGTGTTGCATGCAGAAGTTTCTGTGACTGATGATTGCATCAGCGGTCAACTGGCTGTTTTTTTGTGTCTACAAAAGTTATAATACGTGCTCACTAAGGTGAAACGTTTTAATGACACCGCGCAAAAAAAAGAAAACTCACCACACCAACTCATGACAGTAGGCTACTTCTCAAAGTGTGGGAACGTTTAGTGAGCTGTTTCTCACCTAGGTTTGAATGTTTTAGTGTGTGTGTGTGTGTGTGTGTGTAGTAATTATGTTTATGTAGTAGTTTTTCTGTAGCTTTGTTCATGTGTGTGTGTCTGTATTTGTGTGTGTTCAGGTTCGTCTGGTTGTCCTCAGCTTCTAACAGGCTGTGATACATTGTGCAGCTCTAATCTCACATTTTGGTCTTATTCCCAGCAGATACGAGAGAGTTTGTGTGTTGTGTGTTCAAATTCAGGATGTACGTGTGTAATTTTCACTTTAATAAAGTGCTTAAAAAAATAGAATGTACCTGAAATCAGGGCGGCAGTAGCTCAGTGTGGAGGGACTTGGGTTGGAAATCGGAGGGTCGCCAGTTTCCGGAACAAGTCTGGAAATTGGTCTGGTAGCTGGAGAGGTACCAGTCCACTTCCTAAAAACTGTTGAGGTGCCCTTGAGCAAGGCACCAAACCCCAAAACTGCTCTGGAGTGCTCACTGTGGGCAGCCCCCTCACTCTGAGACCTCTCCATTAGTGCATGTTCATAGGATCCTGTTTGTGCATGTTTGTGTATTTCAGCAAAGGACTGTGATGTCACAAGATAGTTGTGATGTCACTGCCAGCCTGTTATTTGTGTCCTAGAACACACAAACGTCTAGAAACACATAGCTAACACAGCCACAGAGACAAACAGGAGCAAAACAAACCTCATCCCAGTTCAAAGTCTACTATTTTGTCAGGTGTGATTGAGTTTTATAGAATAACAAACACAATGGCAAACAGACAACCGGAGCAGGAATTTCTCTCTATCCAAAAGAAGAAAGCCATGATTTTGGCATCCCTGGTGATAAAAAGATGTGAGATTAAGAAGTTTCACAAAGCTATAGAAGCAAAGGAGCAGGATGTGTCACAGCTTGAGCGGCGGCTTGATCGTATTAAAAAAGGTCACAGGGAGTCACTCAACAGAGCTGAGGAAAGACTTGCAAAAGCCAACTTTGACTTTGATAGAGCGCACAATTCAAAAGAGGATTTAAACGTGATAAGTGAGGACTTACATGACAAAATAGCGACCATTAACAATGAATTGGAACAGACTGAAGAAATCATGCGTAAATACGATAAGTATAAAAAAATTGTCATCGACTTCTTGTGTGCAGCCTTGGTGGGGAGATGCCTGGACAGTCCACGGCCCAAAACAAAAATTCTGAACTGGATGGTGACAGCTCGGAACTTGAGCAGAAATGAAAGAAAATGCTATCTGATCCCAAGCAGATTGTGGATCAGAGCCAGCAGCTGGTCAAGCTACACCTAGTCCTGTGTCAGAGCGTCACCAGAAACAACGAAATACTGAAGGAGTTTCGTTTGCAAACAGAGAAAACTGTAAATGCATTTAATGTGGAAGAAGAGAAGCTAAACTCTGAGCTAAATGAAGTAAAGGATCAAATCAAGAGATACAAAGAAAGAGGTGCCCAACTCAAACGCAAGGTTCAGCTCCATGATTCAATACCTAAAGATGACCAGGATCTCTTGCTGGAAGCTCTGGGTTTGAGGGTGACTGATGTGTATCGCACCATAGTAGATACTCGGTTTAACACCCTCGACACTTTGGAGAAAATGACCAGTATAGAGCACCGTATGTTTAGACTGTTTGATCAGCTTGACAAAATTCCTGAAGAAGTCTTGGCAGAAATGAGAAAGAAGCATTACATAGAGAAGATGATGAGGCTGCATGCAGAGGAGATTAGGTTGGAACTTGAGAAACTGAAAGAAAGGGAGAAGAAGTGTATGCAAAGATCTACTGCTAATAACACGCCGGTAAAAAGCGTAAAAAGTGTAAAAAGCTCATGTTCAGATGTCGCATCAGCATAGAGAAGCAAGAAGAAGAGAAGAAAGATGATTTGCAGGAGGAATATGACCCCTTTCTATCATTGGACGAGGAGACTAAAATATTTAACAAATGGGATGACAGGTGGAGGCTGAGAAGTCCTACATCCATTTCCTGTAGAGACAATTTCAGGGCTGGAGAAACTTCAGCCGAGTGTTCTCCTGCTAGTGCAGAGTTGTCTCAGCATCAAGCACAAAATGGTACAGAGAAAACTTTGCATAACTCTGGCACTGCTCACATTGAAGAGCTAGGTGAGGTACAGCTAAAGCAGAACCTCTGTCTCTCAATTTCTGACACCCAAGAGTCTGGATATACAGAGCACCACAAAGTGTTTAAAACAGAACAAGACGCCACCATCTAACAGAGCCAACAAATGGATCAATCCGCTGGTAAACCGTTTGCCATCTACTAACTGAAAGAACACATTCAAAGGACAGTCCTGCCCCCAGTTTGCCGAGAATTACAACTACCATTCAAAGGAGTCTCGAGAATCCTTGAGGAGATTGGCCACTGTGCAGACCAAGTACATTAGGCAAAACTTGGAGTTCAAAAGGCTGCTGACCAGAAAGACCTAAATGGTTAACAGACATCATTGTCCTGTCCCTTTCTTCTCTTTCTACTCAACCTTTCTGTTCCCCTCTTCTATTTCCCTTTTCGGGGGTCACCATGAGGCATCAGCGGCTAGCGGCACATGAATGTCCTCCTTTGTGTTGATGAGATTGGATGTTCTGTGTGTGTTAGGGTTTACTCCAGGTGCTCTGGTTTCTCCCACAAAATCTCACATTAAAAAAAAACACTGAACAGAATCAATCAACACAAACAACAATGAATAATGAATGATAATAAACAGCATTAAAAATAAAAAATTGGGACGGCCAAGTCTGTATCAATGCAACATTATGTCGGAATTCGGTTTGGTGCGCTTTTGTTCCCACCAAGGTCCTCTGAGTGCAACTACTACCTTAGAAATCAGTGATTTGACACAAATGATAATTATGAAATTACTTTAATTATTATTACTATTAATATCTCCGAGCACAAACAGCAAATTAACAAACACAAAACTTTTACAGGGAACAGGTTTGTGTTACTTGTACGGAAGAGGAGTAGGGCCATGGAAAAATAAATGTTAGGGTTCGGACTTTAATCTCAGAATTCTGAGTTTTTTTCTCAGTCAGAAAAAAAAACGAACCCCCCCCCCCCTCATGTTTCAGAGGCCCTAATACTCTACTCTAATAATCTTTATCTATAACTATGTAAAGAGTAATGGGTATAGAACGGTCACCTCACTGTCATGTTTCCAGTTTGCACTAAAGAGGTTAAAGTAAAGTATAGCCTACACAGTCTAAACATTTCACTTTATACTAGATTTGGAGGGGAATGCTGAAAGTAGTTACTGTTATATTTCCTACAGTCGAGTCAACCCCAAATGTCAAATGCTCAGACATGTAGTGAAGTTTTTTACTGCAACACGAAGCAGGTGAGAAGAGGTCATTTAGAGACACACACACACTCCTCTGTTCCCATTCATCTGTTTCTGCCAGCTTTAACAGGTCAAGTACCTAGACTTCATTCTTAATTTAATATTCTTCATAGTTCAGGTGTAGTTAACCAAAGAATTCAACATGTAATAAAAATAGTCATTTCAGAAACTTGTTGATTTGCAGCTTCAGTCATGTCAGTGTTTGTCTGCCCCACAGGGATGTAAGGTTCATTGTAACGAGTATATTGTCACATCTAAACTAACCAAAATATTGTTTCAGAGATGAAGTTTTAACTTCATGTGAGCAGTCAGTGGAAAGCTTTTATCTTAATGCAGTGTGTTTGTCTCTCAAGCCTTGTTGTCTTTAAAACAGACAAACAGCTGAGAGTAACTTCTGTTAATGGACAAAGAGCAACAAAAAAGTTCTGCAAAATATGACAAGGCAGGATGATCAGGTTATAACTAAAAACTACATTCTTAATGTACAGCTGGTGTAAAGAAACAACGGTGACATCTAGTGGTCAAATCATCAACTACAGCACAAGGCTTTAAAACGCTTCAAAATCATTTCTGAGGGATGTAAACTCCAGTGGGAACTAACCTATGCTTGGATTTATGCACAGCTGGTGCAACCCATTGCTGATTTGTTTTTTCTTTTTAAGATTATTTTTCAGCCTTTTTGTCTTTATTGGACAGGGAAAGCTGAGAAGAGACAGAGAATGAAATGACGTGCACCAAATGGTCATGGTCAGGTGTCAAACAGGCTTTGAGGCCTCAGTATGTGGGACTCCTGCTCCACCAACTGAGTTAAACCAGCGCCCCACCAGAGCTTTCATGTGTCATGGCATGCTCTCCACACAGTCTTTCACATTGCTGTTGGGGGACATTATACCACTCTTGACGCAAAAATTCAAGCAGCTCAGCTTTACTGAATGGCTTGTGAGGTGATCACCAAATCCTCAATTAGTATAATGAGATGTGCCTCCGTTGAATTTTGTCAGACACTACAAAAGGATGCCTTCTATGCATAGAGATGCTGATTTAAGAACTATTTGCAGTGGTCTCTTCATTTTTTCTATAACTTTATATATTTTCTTCTTTCTGATCACTACCTTCAGCTTGTAGAACATACATCAAATCAAGTGAAAAAGGTGCACTTCTTCATGCCGATTACAAATCATTGATTCTCAGTTTTCTTCATGAGGATTTATTGTTGAGGGGGAAGGTCTGCGGGTGACGATGAAAGTCCCTCTTCCCGCCTGACTTACTGACCAGTTTGACATCTGTGATGACAATGTCACGGCTCACGGCCTTGCACATGTCGTAGACGGTCAATGCCGCAACAGAAACTGCTGTCAAGGCCTCCATCTCGACCCCTGTCCTTCCCGTAGTGCGACACGTTGCTGTGATGACCGCAGCGTCCTGCAGCTCATCCAGGTGAAAGGTGACGGAGACGTGGTCCAAGCGGAGCGGGTGGCAGAGTGGGATGAGGACCGAGGTCTGCTTGGAAGCCATGATGCCAGACAACTGTGCCACGGCCAGGGAATCACCCTTGGCCAGCTGGTTGTCCCTCAGCAGCTGGAATGCGATGGGGCCCAGGATGACGGTGGCACTGGCTGTGGCTGCTCGCCGTGTGGGATTTTTCCCCCCTACATCCACCATGGAGGCACGGCCCTGGGCGTCTGTGTGCGTCAGCTGGGCTTCAGTGGTTTCATTCTGGTGGGTGTTGGAGACGCTTGTGCTTGACCTACTCTGATCACTGACACACCGTCGGAGTTTAAGACTATGGTCTTCACTTGAGCTTTTATTATGGCACAGTCTAACATTGTAGTGCTTTACATTCATTTTGGCATTCATTAGTGTGCAAAAAACAGGCGTTCCTAGAGTCCTGAGTACGTTCTTCTTCAGAACGTTAGGACTCCTGGCTATTGCGTACCTGAGACAGCCTTCATTAATGCTTCTCCTGATATTTGTGCGGTAGGTTGAATTTGAAGTCTTGCTGAAATTGAGACTATCAACAATCTCAGAGGAGGGAAGAAGTGTTTCACTTTGGATGTTTTCTGTCACATTAGGTGTTTCATTGTTCATTTCTGACCAGGCATGAATTCCCCCACTCATTTGGGTCCTAGAGGAGCAAAAACAGTCTCCTTGTATTGAACGAGTGCAGTGTGGAAGGCACAATAAATCCATTTCTCTCATTTGGACTCTCCTGCTGCCTGAAGCGCACATGTGAGGAGTTGTGTCTGCAGAGAGGACTGTGTTGTTTGGAAGCTGGGAAACAACGGGGAAATCTCTCTGGCTGTCTTGTGACATAGGCGGTTGGAATCTGGTACCTGTTGGAAAAAGGAGCATCTGTCAAGGACAATGCTAAAAACAAGAAAGTGTGTATGTAGATGAAGATGTAATACTATTTTAATATGGTAACACCTGATCCTTCTATATATATTTAGATCTAAATGACTTTGTGGTAATACAGTTGGAATGGAAGTACTTTGATCAGTGTTTTTCATGCAAACAAACTGTTGCAAAAATTACAGCCAGTGTCACATCTGCTGGTTGAAGCGATCTCATTTCACAGCTTTTTGTACCTGTTTGTCATTTAGACCCCAAATTATAGAGCTCAGGTTCAAACATGTAGGAATACGATCAAGATTGTATCTGTCATTGGTTCAATGTACATTTGATTGTCTATATTTCAGTGTGAAAGGGCTGCAAATACAGTGGTATTTACAGAAAATCCTGACTGGGCAGTGATGGAAAAATCTGAGTGTGAGAGGTTTGTACGTACAGCCATGTCACCCACCAATGAGGATCATAGGCCGGTTCTTCATCTTGGAGATATTGAACATTCCTGGAGACGCAAACAGAAGATTGTAACATTTCATGTGGAAGTTTACCCCGACCCCGGTGTGTCTGAAGACAAGTCTACCTGCATGTTGTTTCTTCTTCCTGCCCACTGCTGCTCCGATGATCTGCAGAAGCTCTTCCTCTGATGATCCTGAGCGCAAGAAATCTCTCAAGGACACCTCAGAGTTCCCAAACAAACACACCTGAAAGAAGACAGACAAGGAGGGAAGAGAGGACAATAAATGAAGGCTTAGGTCTAAATGACTAATATGTACAAAAAGCTGTGAGACGGGCTGTAAAGTAATCTTTGAGGGAATCTTTGAAAATGTGCTTTGTCAAAAGTCCTGTTCAGACTCATTTCTGCAACAGCGCGGTATCTAAGCTCAACCATTATTACGTCATCTCTGTACATTCATATAGATTCGGCAGCGGCTTAATATTGGTGTCCCAGTTTGTGAATTCACAAGCGCTAGAGAGCAAGGCACATCTGGGGCTCCACAGACACACAGTCAGATATTCACACACACAGCGCTGTGCTTCCCCACTAGCTCAGCCGATGCGCAGCATTAAAAAAATTAAAGAAGTCAGTGGGTGTGGAGATTGGGATTGGGTCTGTGACACCTGACTGACATCCAATTCACCCAGAGTTGTGCCGTCCACCTCTGCTTGTCACTTATCTCAAATTTAGAAGTCATTTCAAACAAACCAGCAGCCCACAGGTTTCAGGAGAGAGCTGTTAAAAAGCTTTGTATCCCAACATGCTTTGAGCAGTTGACTGGAAGGTGGGCTTTCATTTGGGTACCCTCCATCAAAAGAGCGGTAGCTTTACCTTGAGGCTGCCGTCTGCTGTGATGCGTAAGCGGTTGCAGGAGCCACAGAAATGCTCCGACATTGAGGTGATGAATCCAACCTGACCTTTGAAGCCTGGCACTTTAAATGTCTGTTTGAAGACAAAAAAGAGAGTCGGACAGTTAACAAAAGCTTCAATTATTCAAAACCAGTGAAAAAGTAATCGATTGTCTCTTTACATATGTCCGGTGATAAGAATCCAACCGCTTTTAAAAACATAATTTCTTTGAATAATACTTAAACATATCCCAGCTTTATCAAGAATAAAGTTTTCCAAAGGAAAATAATCGTTGGTATTGGCAGTGTTTCAGCACACTTAGCAGCAAATGAGTATTTGAGTTATGGAGTACAGTTGGAGGCACTGACCTTGGCTGTGTCTGTTTGTCCAGTTTGAAGCATTTCTAGGTCGGGCCACTGCTGCCTGATACGATCCAGCATCTCCTGGTAACTAACCATCTTCTTAAAGTTCCACTTGTTGCCTGCATGGGGAGAGGATGAGACCTTGCACGTCAGAGGAAAATCCACTCAAAGTTGCACAAATGTTTACAATGCCAACGTATGAAACACACGCAAATATTTACTGCATCAGTCTGGATCCCTCGCTCTCTTCACGACACACACATATTTGTTCAGTGAATAGGGCAAGCGACTGTCTGACATGGACTCTGTGTGCCCAACTCAAGCATGGCTCTAGCCTGATGCTAGGGGTCTCTTCACAAAACGGCATAGCCCCTGTTGAGCCCATCATCATCACAGGAGCGCAGTTTGGATTATTGATTGAAATAAATGGGAGAAAAAGCATATAATACTACATGTTTCAGCTTATAAACAATCCATCCAGCACATCAGTATACCATCTCTCCAAACTGCATTCAGATTGAAATGTCTGAAGTAAAATGTAAACGATGTATAAACATGACTCAGTAATACGATCTCTCTCTATGTGTACCTTTCCAGCCCTCTGTTGTGGAAAGTAAGCACTCACCATCGAAGGGCATGTATTCAATGAAGCGCACCTCCAGAGGCTTCTTCTCCGTCAGAGCCACGAAATCCAGCAGCTCATCCTCGTTCAGGCCTCGCATGACCACACAGTTCACCTACAGGGGGCAGCACACGACACACAGCTCAATGAGGACCACATTTTAGACAACTGCACTCTTCTTCTCATCCTTCCTGTTCGTCCTACATGTTAACATATCCATTTACAAAGACCACTTGAAGGTTGCAATGTAATAACAAACAAAACTGTATAGAGTATAGAAAACACTTCTGGGGTAAAAACAACTTTAAATGGATGAACTAAGTACCTTGACAGGGTTGTAGCCCATTTCGATGGCCTTGTCAATACCCTCCATGACCTTGTGGAACCCTGGGGAACAAATTGGATTTCAATATTTATCAAACATTGTCGTCTTTAAAGTCCAATATGTCAGGCTTCTGCTTTCACTGTTAACTGCCTTTACACATGATTTAATAAAGGATCCATAACCACTGATATGTAAAGAGCTAAAGGTACTCCTTTACAAGCGGCCAGAGCTTTTTATCAGCACAGCCCTTGTTTGTTTTCCTTCACACGCTAAGAGACAAGATTCTCTAAACCTACAGGTCTGACAGCTGCTAAACCTTTCACACATCTGTCTATGCACACTGTTCTCTTAAATGCATCCATGACATGAACCCACATAGTCTTTCGTACCTTTCCGCCTTACAATAAACTCAAATTTAGCCGGGACCAGCGAATCCAGGCTGATGTTAATCAGGTCAAGTCCGGCGTCTTTAAGCTTAGGCAGAAGCTTGGCCAAGTTCATGCCGTTGGTGGTCACTGCGATGGTTCTCAGGCCCTCCAGCTTCCTCAGTTCTGCTGTGGACGTAGAGTCAGAAATGGGAACAGGAGAAAGGAGGAAGAGGGTGAACACAGAGAGGAAACTGTGATGTTAAATATTTGAGTCTGTTATATTCCAGAAATAGAGACGTTCAACATATGACTCCCTCCTGGATTTCACTTGCTTTAACTGTTGCAGCCTGATGTCTGGTTTCCCAGCAGCTTTTGCAAAAACTTGAGATGTTTTGATCGCAAAACTGTGAGTGACCGACACGACTCGATAAATAAAAGCCATCTATAGACTGAGTTAGAGCCGGGCATTTAATTGAGTTTCAATTAGAAACAGTAGCAATTACAAATGTCTGAATTTATCACATTAAAATGAAAGAAAAATAACCCTCTTAACCCTAAGAGAGGATTTTTCACTCAGCATGTTTAACTTTCAGCTGGCTTTAAACACCATTCATGAACTCCATTTTGATGCAGTCAGAGGAAGCTAAAGCTAGCTATTAGCTTCCCCTCAGATTAATCGGTGCACATGTAGTGATGGGAAACAATACTCTGGATGTCTTATGGATTCATGAGAGACATGTTGCAAAGACAGATCCTGTGTCAAACATGGAGAACAGCAGATAGACACAAGCTGTGAGTAATGGCTGATATGCAGTCAAGATCATTATGACCATGCAATCGCACATCGCATATTTTTCTCATATCGTGCCTATAATCTCATTTTCTACTCCACTTATTTTCACAAAGTGTCAGAAAATCAAACCAGCACACACGGTAGATGCGGACTCCGGCTTCTCTTTCCTCTTAATGTGAATTATTCACTACAGGAAATGTTCAGGGTCATGTGAGGTCACAGCAGAGGCCTGACACAGTGATAAATACTGATCTTTATGGGGCTGTTTGTAGACTCGGGTTCTCTTCCTACTAAGATATTATAGAATGGTCACACCACATTGCTTTGTTCATGTATATTAGTTTTTAAGGCTGTGAGAGTATTCTCGATGCGATGTGATGCAAATTGGCCGAAGATGCATCATAATTTATCCCTACCATAATCTAGCACCCCCCCCCCCCCCCCGTATGTCTTAACCTGAGGTCATCAACAGAGAATCAGCTCCTCCCCTCTCTTTTCTTTTCTCTCTTCACGTTAGTTAGACAAGTTAGAATTGATAAGATATTAACTGAATCATGTGATGCCTTAGATAGTAAACACTGATATATAGATGGTCACACACACACACACAAACACCACAGTAATCCCATTCATACACATTTATACGCTGCTTACAAAGTGCGAGCAATTCGGGGGCAAGTGTCTTGCCCAATGACACGTTGGACATGTGGCTGCAGGAGCTGGGGATGAACCCCTGACCTGTTTTTATGCTCCTTATTCAAAGCTCAATTATCTCCATTTTTGATTAACCATGTCTTAGCAGCTGCTAATAAATGATTACTGTTAAACTGACGTTACCTCCTCGCAAGCATATCAGTCTGATGAAGGCGCTCACAACTCTGTTTCGGACAAGCTCCTTACCGATGATTTCCAGCACATCAGGTCTGATGAGAGGCTCTCCTCCAGTCAGGCGGATTTTCTCCACCCCCTCCTGGACGAAGAGGCGAGCCAGAGTCAGCACCTCTGAGGTGGACAGCAGCTGGGCCCGGGGCGTCAGCTTCACCCCCTCCTCCGGCATGCAGTACTGACCTGAAGAATGGAAGAAGGTCAAAGGTAAGGAGGATACTCAAAGATGTGATGATGGTGTCACTGCATCAACAAGTTCACATTCATTCAATAACTACTGTGTGTCAATATTAGCATAGCGCCAATTCATAACAAATGTTACACTTTACAGAAAGCAGGTAAAATGACTCATTGCTGTATTTTAGAAAGACCAAACGTTAATCCATCATCAAGCAAATTGACCGGAGCAATATGTAACTACACTCAGCACAGGCATGTGGACATTAACATGCTGGAAGGACCAAAGGCTGCTGGTATTAACACTGCTAACGTTTAACCCGGTCAGCAAACCATGACATTAACATGCCTTTGTTTTGGACCGGGCCGTGACCCTACTCGCTCTGAAAACTGCACAAGAAGTGTTTTCTTATCTTTGGACTAGTCGACTAGTCTGCGTTTAAATTTTTTGTTTAATCCATGAGGAAATAAGCAGCTATGAACATTCCTACTGCGGAAAGAAAACACTCTTCTCATGATTCGTTTTCTAATATCTCTACTTTTGTTCCTTTAAGAGTATCAAGAGACACTCATTTTACTGACTACTGATTGTTTTTTTTACAGCTTTTATCACCTGATGTGATCGTTGAGGAGCGAAGCACACGCCTTCAGATATTGAAGTCCCTATTTAAAAACCTCTCTAAAGATAAACACTGAAGGAATCCTAACCTAAAACACACAAGAGGATTACCTTGAAACAATCTGAGGTAACACAGGCCTCTCCTAATGTGCTGTGTGCACTGAACCATTGGAGGACACTAAACTAGAGCACAAACTTCTTTATTTAGATCTGACCGATGGTACGTTGTCTGCTAGCTCAGAACTGTTGTTGTTTGCTCTCAAAAAAAGGTTATAAATGACCTGAAATCAGTTCACTGCTCTAAGAAAGAAGTCGAAGGTGGCGGTTCTCATAAATCAATGGTGGCAGCAAAGTTCTTAACCATCTCTGATGTCAGCACAGACATCCCTGCTTCTGTTTGTTTTAACTAGCAGATTGGATTTCCTGAGAGAAATGTTGTTGTTTTTAAGGCTGATAAATCCCAGTTACAGATTGATACACAAGACTGTACTGGAGGCATGAAAGATACAGGTATCAGGGCGGTATCAGGAAGGAGAAGAACCTGTATCCTGTGACATGGCCCAGTGGGATCGTACTCACAGCGCAGGTTGCATTTCTCAGTCAGGGAGATTCTCAGGTAGCTGTGCTGCCGGCCAAAGTTGTCCGTCAAAAACGCTGAAAAGGGAAGTATGCTGCTGTCTCCTAGCGTCTCCTGGGGTTAAAGACAACAGGACAATGTCAGACACTCAGGGAATAATGAGCGTACAGTGAACATGATGTGTCTTTTTTTTCTGTCAAATTAAAGATTTCTACATTAATTTTTATCCTTTTTAATGTCTAGTTAAAGATTATAGGTAGAATATTGAGGCTTAAAGGGAGGGTTGGTCATTTTTTCGAAAAACTAGCATGATTTTGAAAGTAGCATCCCCTCTGCGCTCCCTCTAAAGCCACGCCCCCTCACCTAGAGCGCCGTTGCTCCAGAAGCGGACCTCAGCTCATCGCTTACATTGTGTAGAAACTACGTCATCTCAAGTCTCATTCAGCGGTAAGTAAACACTAAACTTTATCATAATACATAAGACTATTTTACTACTCACAACGTCCAATAACAAACTCACAGTATGAACTCCGTCATCGATGGCGCTCTTTGAGTGTGGGCTAAGGGTTAAAGAAAGCAGGGAGGCATGATTGGTTCATCAAAGTGGTACCTCGCAGCAGACATTGGTCGAAGTTTCAACCAAAATCTTAATAAGTGTGTCTGGAGAAAATGACCAACCCTGCCTTTAACTGAATGTTGGGTCAGTGACCGTGCATCAGCATAGCACTCTATTATAATAAAAGCCCATGTCTACATGTGGACTTCCATCCAATAAAAAAACAACACAGCTAGATTTAAAGAAGCATAACAAGAAATAGAAACAAAAGTCCTAAACAGGGTGGCTCCAACAAAAACCCCACTGACAAGCAGGAATACAAACTAAGAAATGAAGGTGTTAAATAATGAAATACATCATGAACGAAATAAATAAATGACAAAAATCGACGACGAAAGACTTTAAAAAAACATCAAATCTCCAATGAGTGACTCGCATGAGACTGTTTGTAAATGTGTGTTTTTAAACAGGTATTAAAAGATTATTTTCCGAGCCCTATCTCCTCTGACAGGTAGAATATATATATTAATGTTTATACACACAGCCCGGTCAGATTCAGAAGTTAAGCCTGGACTGTTTTCTGGTTAGAATTTGAGTAAATATAGACCATGTCTGAGGTCAAACAGCATCGTGAAATACTGAATCCAACTGATTCAATCAGCGAGCATCATGTAATCACTACGAACGTTATATATGAGATCATTTCATGATTCACCTGGTGACAAACAACTAAGCACCACCTACAGACCACTCAGAGAGGGCAGAGATGACTCATTATTGTAGTTATTATATTCTTGTCTTCTCACACTTAAATATAATATAAATCAAGTATATCCTTGAAAATAACTCTGTGAGTCATGACTGTCTACAATGGGTGTAACACCGAGTCCCACTGTCTGTGATGTTTTCAGAGTCCTATCTTCAGTTTGTTTACATCACCAGGACGGCCGGCTGACTCCTCCCCTCATGTATAAAAGTTGTTTAATTGACTAGAGAAAAGAAGAATAACACACTGTACTCACTGCTTAACTGTGTTTCTAGATCACACTCATTTCAGGTAAATTTACATGCAGTGTGAAGATACGGGCATAATAAAGATCACTAGCATTAGCATGCTAACACAACAATGCACCATGAGTTGTTGGCAAGCTCCTCAAGGGCGACATCTGCATCAAAATCACATATAAAGCCTTTAAAGTTTTTACTTTATTTACGTCGATGTTAAACGTAGCTGCAAGGGAGATGCCAAAGCAGTAATGGCGGCTTGTCAACTTCCTGTTTTTCCCCGGATCAGTCTATATGTAGACTAACATCATTTGAGTCACTTAAACCACAATTACACAACGTTCCTTTTTCAGAAGAGTGGGTTTAACCCATAGACTGTAAATATTACTGGACGAACCCTGACCCGTCTGTTTACATAGGCAGAAAATTAGTCCAATCGACGGCCGCATCCATATTGGATTTGCAGTTTCAACCTAACTTCGGATCAACCTAGCAACAGCAGTAAGGCGGACCGGCGGGACTTAACTCCGCCCATTCAGCTCGACGTTAGCAGTCCGCTTGACAGCATAGCTAACAGCTAGGCTGCTATCATCAACTATTCCTGCTCGTCCTGAGAAAACTCTATAAACAGTAAGTTAACATTTAACTTTTCTACAACACAGTTAAAACTAATTATATTCAACACAAATATTTAATTAAAGTCTTAAAACTACACTTTTTTTAAAATACAACTATGGTTATTAGTTATTTGTCAGAGCAGTTAGACTTTGTCAGTGTTAGCAGAGAAATACATTAACAAAGTTTTATCCATAAACTGTAAATAAATATGAGACATCCCAGAAGAAATCATATTACAAAGCATAACAGTTCATGTTACTGTTCTGATAAAAAGAGGAATGTCTGTGTTTTATATTTACTGATGTCAACGGCGATGACAATTTTAAAAACAATTATTTAGTATTTATTAAAGACATTTGTTTTCTATTGAACCCCATGAAGTCATGGAGTCTGTGGACAGTGTCAGCTTCACACCAAAAACTTTAAGTATTAGAAAAAATAGTGTTTAAGACTGGCATCTATTATTAGGAGTTGCAGCTACCTTGTTCAATATTATTCCTGCAGATGTGGCTAA